AAGATCAAGGCGACTCATGTGGTGGCTAAGGATGGAAGTGGACAGTTTAAGACGATTAGCGAGGCGGTTAAAGCTTGCCCGGACAAAAACCCTGGACGTTGCATTATCCATGTCAAGGCTGGTATCTACAATGAGCAAGTCACTATCCCTAAGAAGAAGAACAACATTTTCATGTTTGGTGATGGTGCTACAGCAACCATCATTACTTTTAACAGAAGTGTTAAACTTAGCCCTGGAACCACTACTTCACTCAGTGGCACCGTTCGTAAGTCTCATTTGTTTAAACCGTTATTTAATTCATTTATATTCATTGCTAAATAACGTGGATCATATCTAAATATATACACATGCATGCAGAGGTTGAATCTGAGGGATTCATGGCGAAATGGATCGGGTTTAAGAACACTGCTGGTCCATTAGGACACCAAGCGGTCGCACTCCGTGTGAACGGAGACCGTGCGGTCATATTCAACTGTAGATTCGACGGTTACCAAGACACACTATACGTCAACAACGGACGTCAATTCTACAGGAACATTGTTGTATCCGGTACAGTCGATTTCATCTTCGGAAAATCCGCGACCGTGATCCAAAACTCTCTCATACTCATCCGAAAGGGAAACCCCGGACAACAAAACTACGTTACAGCCGACGGTAACGAAAAGGGTACAGCGGTCAAGATCGGTATCGTTCTCCAAAACTGCCGTATCATGGCGGACAAGGACCTCGAAGCTGACAAGTTAACCATCAAATCGTTCCTAGGACGACCATGGAAGGCATATTCAACGACCGTGGTCATTGGAAGTGAGATCAGTGATGTGATTCAACCAATAGGGTGGAACGAGTGGAAAGGAGAACAATTCCACAAAACTGCTAGGTACATTGAGTTCAATAACCGTGGACCAGGAGCTAACACTGCTCAAAGGGTTCCTTGGGCTAAGGTGGCTAAGTCTGCGGCTGAGGTTGAAGGTTTCACCGTGGCTAATTGGGTTGGCCCGGCTAATTGGATTCAAGAAGCCAACGTGCCTGTCCAGCTTGGATTGTAAGAAAAAAAAAGAAGAGTAACGAATAAGAGAGTATGTGATTAATGTAAAGGTAAATGATACGAGCTCGTCTCTGGGGATGGTCAGGGCTCTTTTTTTGGGTATTATATTAGGGTTCTAGATACATTTTGGGATGAAGTTTGTATAAGATTCCTTTTGTTTCACGTGCAAAAGAGAAAGGAAAAAATTTATTGTTGTTGTTGTCTCATTTAATTAATTTATTGTATTCCAAATAATGAAATTTTTTTACCACTTTGATGTGTGTATATCTCTATCATTTTCTATACATAGTTTCAGTTAACTACTCTTTATTGGGGGAAAATATTATAAAAAAGTATTGCAACATCATAAAAATGATCAAATCTACCACTTTTCATTTTTTATAATTGGTTAACCTAACTACAAAAACTAAAACTCTAGTTAAAAAAAAAAAGCAAACCAAACCTGTTTATGTGAAAGTATGTGTGTGTGCGCGCTTTTTCTTGGGATCAAATGTGAAAGTATGTGTAAGCTTGATATATATATATTAGTTTTTTTAGTTTACTGCATTTGCTATGTTTATGTCAAGATAGATGATAGAATATTGACGAGAAGTGTAATATGTTAGCAAAGCGAAGCCCTACATCCACCAAATCAAAGCGCACTTCAAAGCGAAGTTGTTCCACACATAGATGATTAATTTCACCAATATCTCACACATTATAAAAGTGGCATTGTCTTCCACCACCAATTTTTTTTTTTTCCAATTTCAAAAAGCCATTTGCAATTTCCGGTTTATTCAACTATGTGAAACCAACCCCATCCTTCGTGTTGGATCTGTCCTTAATGGATAATATTGTAAGATGTTTCGCTAGAACAATACATGTGTGTTACAAATTGACTAAAAGAAGCATTGGCTAAAGCACTTGTCTC